TTAATAACTTTAAACACAAATGCTTCCTACGTTTTTCACAATTTTGGGGGGGGCAGTGCTTTGGGATTGTTTTTAATGATAAGCAGTTTAAAGATGTCTTGGCAGGTGGCAACATCTGGTTCATCTTGGCAGTTAAGCAGAGTAAGCCTGGTTAGTACTTGGATCTGTAGGAAATGTCAGGACTGGGAAGTTTAAAGAGACCTAAGAAGATGATAGTGGCAAAGTATTATTGCCAAGAAACCTACATGAAAAGTCCATGGAGTCAGGAGCTGAGCTTTACTTGACATAGAGCTTACCTTTTGGTTTAGAAATATTTTAATAAGGTTCCTATTAATAGTGTCATTTTGTATGTTTGCTACCATAAGGTGATTTGTGAAGTATCATATGTTCTAGAATGTATTCATTTCTGCAATACAGATAAAATACTAATGAATAACTGGAAAGTCTTGGAAGGAAAAGGAAGAAGAGGACTGCTAGCAGCAAGATAGATTGACTCAGTTACAGTGGCAATGGGTGCACCATTGGGAGATCTGAAGGACCAAGTTGGGAGCATAGGGTCCTGGAGAAAATCTATGTGGTTGCTAAGAGCTGACATTGACTTGATGGCACATAATACATCAATTATCAAGTCTGCAGGGAGCATTCTTTGCGAGGGAAGAAAAATATAGACGTTTAATCAGCCTGGGGTGTTCCATTTTCTTTTTCCATTGTTTTTAGCCAGTTTCATAACATCTAACAAAATACAACTCTTGCAGGGCTTGACTTTCTGAAATGCAAAAATATCTTTTAGAATTGCCCACTTTTTTTTTCTGATTGCCTATAGTCGGAGTTAAAAAAAAAAAAAAAGCTTAAATCACTTCCAATGGTAAATTCAATCTGCTGGGAAATATTAGAAATTCAGGCCTCGTGGCCTGAACAAGATGAGACTGTCAAGGGGGAGAATTTTGTAATTTCTGCTCATGAGAAATCCTTTTCACAAGTCCCTGTCTAGCACATTCCCTCTTTCTGAGTATGTGGTTTGTATTGTTGTAACTGAAACAAATACTCTTGACACTTCCATATTGATGGCTATACTTCCATCACTGTCATAGTAACTAATTATTTGTATAATTAATTCAGAGTAGTTTACATTAGTGATATACTTTAAGTATCAGTAACCTAGATGAGTTAAAGAATAGTGAGATGTGTTTTTCATGCTATCACTTAATATCTAAATACATGTGTTCATGATTCCAAATGTAAACTACAAGTGATGTTGAATACACTTTTAGTTTTTTTAATCAACCAGCTAGTGTTTGTTCTTCCTCATTTCTCACTAAGTATAATCCATGGAGATAAGCTGTAGTTCTATAGCTTGCTGTATGAAAATCAAGATAGAATCATAGTTGGGGAACAAATAAAAAGTGTTTTCTAAACTTTAATGCAATCAAATGAAAACCTACAGAAAAATACAGGTTTCTTAACACTACTAAATTTACCCAAATGCAGAGTCCTAAAATTCAATACAATTCCTCTCCCCCAATCCCCAGAAAAAAAAAAACCTTGTGTGATTCTTTTTTTCTATTCTCAGTTAATCTAAGGCAATTCAAAGTAAATGATCTGGGGAAAACTCTTCCTTATCAACAGTATTGCAGTACACCTCTATAAATTGATAGGATCAAAATATTAATCCATAACTTAAAAACATGGTCTTGAGTGACCTGGGCATTCCATGTCTAGGGAAAAAAGCTCTACATTTAATTAGGATTATATTATATCTTACAGTACTCAAATTCATGGTCATCAAGAAGTTCTGCTAGGTTCATTGAGGTTAAGTAAGTGGATGTAAGATTATGGTGATTTGCATCTGCACTAATTCCAAGACATCATTTGTCATACTTTCAATATATGATTTATTTTAAAAATAATTGTATAGCATTTAAGAGAGATCCATTTGGAAGTTGCTTTGTTTTTGTAGAAGAGTCTGATGATGTCCACTCCCATGCTTTACCTTCTGGAGACAACAGATGTGTACTTTCTAGCTGGGTTTGCTTGCTTATTTGTGCTGCTAGCATTGATCCTCTTTATTCTGGGTTATGATGTAATGGAGCCTTCTTTACTCCTGACTTAGCTTTCAGTTTTGAGATCTGTTTTGATAGCAAGGCAGTTGTCAATGACGACACTAGTTGGCAATTGACACGAACAGTTTCAGAGTATCGACAAAGCCATATGATCTGCATGAATTGATAATTTTGGGAATGGACTTGCTCATATGAATGTTTCAACATGTGTCCAGATTGCGACTCATGTTTAGACAGATCTCCCAAAGTAGATAAGCATTACAGTGATTTACAAGGTGGGAATGTGCTGAAGAAGGATTGTCATGTGGTTGCTATAACTGACGGCATCCCAACCTTATGTGAGCTTAAAGACTTAAAAGACAGTTCAGAGCTCTATAGCCATTATGCCAAGTTATTGGTTCTATTTTTCTTCCATGTACCATGTAAAACCATTCATGTTACTGATTTGACAGTGATATAAGGAGAGATGCATACACTCTGCATTTATTTTCAACTCATCATGTAGTTGGGATTCCTGAGATACATCCCTCCTGTTAGCTTACAAAATTATTGCATAAAAAGGTTGTTCCTTGATTTAAAATACAGACATGCTGGAGGCCAGATAAATTGGCTTTTAGTCTTGTTGGGACTTGACCCTTAATTTTAATTCTGACCCTGGTGATAATATCCCTTAGTTGCAGTTCTCACTCTTGTGGTAATGTTGTAGATTCCACTAGAGTTTACCTAGTTTACATCAACTGATGTTTCAAGGCCATTAACCTTTCTTGTTATTGGGATACTGTTCTTGTATAAGTCTTTAAGATTAGTAATACACTGGGCCATACTGTGGGAATGGCCTCATAAGATAAGATGTTTTATCAGTGTTCCAAATGGCCCCCAAGGATTGCAGTATATGTATATGTATATATAAACAAGTGCAATGTTTATATGTGAACAGTATGGGTTTGCAGTAGGGCTGTGCAGCAATCTGGATTCAAAGAGGAAAAAATTGAGTAGGAACGCATGTGAGCACATATGTTACATCTTTTGGCAACACCCTAAAGAAGCATTATCTTTTCCTGGGTTCCTACACAAGCCCACTTAATCATTTTCCCTTCCTTTCAGATCATTGCACAGTCCTAGGTTGCACACAGGTGAACATACCACAAAATCATGATAGGCCTTGATTTGCATATATACATGTATACACATATTCACATTATAGCAAATATCCATTGGCCACTGCATACCATGTAAAAGGATAAATGGGGTTGTATTAGCTTTTGATTTTTTGTAGTCTAGTGTTGATTACTCCTAATATAAAAAATTAGGTTGACACAACAAATGGTGGCTATATGAGTACTTTCTGATTATATGTTCACTAGTGAATTTCATTCATCTATCCTTGCTATGTACCTAGTTGTTCTTTGGCCCTTTAAACAGTAATCTGGATGCTGATTCTGATTTTAGAGGCTTTGGGTATGGAATAAAAATATACAGTGAAATCTCGATTTACTGGACTTGATGCAGCCGGGCTTCATGTGCAACAGACCAAATTTCCTTAGCGATTTATGTAATTTGCTTAATGACATCATCATGCATGTGGCATTATATTTGTAATATAACTTAATTAGATTATCTGTTGGACCAGTCATAATATAGTACCATTTTTAAAAAAATATTTTTGTTCATTATGTGTACTTTTAAAGAACATTGCAATAAAAAGAAAAAGAACATCATGCAAATGATGTAAAATGACACAAATTACATAATTTCATATTTAATGGGCATTCATAAATAAGGGACACCCCCTCAGCTAAAACGAGGTTTCACTGTATTTAGGAATCTGCTAGGCTTTGGCAGGATAAACCAGTTGATACCCAATCTTGTTGTGGCTAAATGGTAATATATAGGCAAATGAGGAAATTGTTATATATAGATATATAGATATATATATATATTTAAAAAGAATATCTAATCCAAGGCTCTCATTGACCAGCTTCTGCTTAACAACTTGTTCATACTCTTCATAGAAAGCAGTAAAAGAACAATGATTATCAGTCATGCATTCCAATACATATCCTTTCATACAGCATTATATCATCATAAAAGAAAGGGGTGAGAGGAGGAATGAGAATAAAGTATGGGGAAATTAACAATAAAGCACATTTCAATCAAAAATTCATTTTTTAATATTTTTGTTTTTTTAAAGGATTTTAGAGATTTTTTTTTCATTTGTCTTTTTACTTTGTTTCATGCAATATTTCACAGTCCCAATCCCACAGGTTTTTTTTTCAACTTTTTTTTCCAAACAAGTAGGAAAAAAGAAATAAAGAAGCTGAGGAATTATTATTCTGATGTCATTTCTTTGTCAAGCAGGACCAAAATATCAGAAGAAAATGCTTAATTTTTATCAATTATTTTTGTCCTTTTTTGTTTTTTTGTTTTATTATTATTTCTTTTTATCTCTGCAGGCAGTAATATTAGGGATTGGTATAACCAGCAAGCACTCCTCTGTGTGTGTGTGTGTGTGTGTGTGTTATATGTGTGTGTGTGTTGGGGATGTGTATTTGTGTGCATATCTCCCTCTTAAAATATCAGGTCACAAACTTTTTTTAAAACATTAAGTTAATCAGGTAATTGAGATGATAAAACTCATCAATAGAAGCCCAGGGTTGTCCTTTTGTTTACTTTTGCATCTTTTTAAAAGGTTTTTGTTTCTTAAACATTTCCAGAATGTCTTCGACAGACTCCTTCCTGCCTCTCCCATCTGCCCAGAGGAAAGTGGCTTCTGGTCTTGGTTCGCAGAGGCGTACAGTAAGTTAGGTGAAGCCCGGGGCTCTTGGGCGGCCCAATTTCCCCACACCTGAGTGCGTTTTCTGTTGTAAATTCTGAGTGACGCCCCTCCCTCCCTCCCACCCTCAAATCACTCACCACACACAACTTGATCTGTAAAAGATAAGCATGCTCTGATCTCCCAGACCCTCGCGTCCCTAGCCTCCCCCCAACCCCTTGCTCCCTCCCGACCCCAGATTCCCCGAACAAAAGATAAAAAGTTTCTTCCCACAACTGCAGGGTTCTCCTCCGCGACACCTTCCGCAATCAGCTGGCAGTTCGTTTGCTTTTCATTCTTCCCCTCGCCTTCCCCCCAAGCTGGGGATCTCCTCCCTTCTGGGTACGTGTGTGGAGTGCGTGTGTGGCGCGTGCGCGCACGTGTAAGGTGAAGCCACTGGTAGGTTAGCAGCAGTCGTCCTCGTCAGTTTCGCTATAAGGTTCGTGCAGTCCTTTGCGTGGCCCTGTCCCGCGCGACTTGGCTGGTCCGTGTGAGTGGTAGTATCCGTTGGGGAGCCGCCGCCCGTGCCTGTAGGGGGAGAGAGAGGACGAGCCGCCGCCCACCCGGGAAGTTCTGGGCGAGCGTCCTGAGCCGCTCCCCTGCTGCTGCTGCTGCTGCTGCTGCGCGGCCTCGTAGGGGAAGGGTTCCCCGCCGGCGGGGCTGCCGTAGTCCCGACTACGGTGGTAGCCGCTGCCGTGGCGAGGCCCCGGCGAGGGCTCAGAGACCTGTGGGGCTGACCACCGGCTACTGGCGTGGCGGTAGCCGCGAGGCGAATCATTTCGCGGCGGGACAGTGTGTCGCTCCATAGCCGGAGACCTGCTGCGCCGCTCGGAGACGTGGTGCTCAGCAGGCAGCGAGGGGTAGCGCCGAGGGGCCGGGCTGGCTATTCGGCTGGGGTGCACAGACGGCGGTTGCTGCTGGGCCCCCGTGTTGATGGTCTTACGGACCACGGGGGAGTAGGAGATATGTGGCCGGGGTGTAGAAGGGGTCTGTGGGAGCTGGCGGCGTCCTCGCCTCGGGGTGCTGGTACCAGACGTTGAGAGGACTGGACTCCCACTTACGGAACTACTGCCCTACACGAAAATTGAAACAAAGGAAATCAAAAAGAAAAAATATACAAGGAAAATCAACCAAGAAGAGACAGAAGGAAAAGGGGGCCGGATTGGAGGTGGGCGGGGATGCGGTTTGGGTGACACAGAGACAAGGACAAAGGAGGGGGGGAGGAAGGCAAGGAATAAAAATAAATGAATGGGAAAGTAATTAAAGCAACAGCCACATCAGGGTGGATTAGAAATTGAGGATAGGAAGGCAAGGGAAACACAAAGGACAATAATTATTCATAATTTAAAAAAAATCCAAAGGAAACCAAAAGCAAAAAAGAGAAATGGAATTTTTGTAAGTTCCAAGGATTAAAAAGTAGTAAAAAGCTTTTAAATGTATTTGTGTTCTTCCAAAAGAAAGAAAGAAAGAAAGAAAGAAACAAGGGGTGGGGGATAGCAATTTATTAAATAGAAAAGAAACAAAATTTTTGGAAGGAGAGAGGTGGGGTAGGATGTATTTGCAAAGCATGTTATCAAAAAATGAATAGCGGGGAAAAAAGAGAAAAGATTTGAAGTTGAAAAAGGAAGTGGTAAGTTGGGATAAATAGGGACAGAATTTAGGAAATAACAGGAAGTGGGAGAGAGGATTTAACAGGAAAGATGAGGGAAATCTGGAATAATTTTGTAACAGCCAAACTCTTCAAGGAGATTGCAGAGTGTTGATATCCTGCACCTGAGATATGTCTGATCGTCAGTCTTCTGTTCATGTTGCTTACATGCTAATGGTAAGATCATGCATTGTTCTCATTGCATACACACTACTTTAATCCAACATACAGCCCCACCTCAGATTTCCTAAAAGGCAATGAAGTCCATGAAAAAAAAGTTCTTTGCCTCTGTTATACAGCTTGCCTTTGCTAAAAAAATGTTAGGGAGTAATAGCAATAGTATTGCTGTTCTTTCAGTTATAATGGGGAGCAAAAGCTCTGGGTAATCTGGACTACAGCTGGTAGAGTCAAGTACCTGTGATGCATTTAGGGGACCATCAAGAGCCATCAGTTTAACTTTCACTTTTTATGACTCCCATCAAAAGTGTGTGTGAAGTAAGGCAGCAGCCTATCCATGGTAAGGCCTTTGGGTAAGGCATGTTCTCAGGCATGTCTGAATAGGTTGAAAGCAATGTGTGCCTCCTTTGACATAACAGAGCCCAGAGCCAACTAACAGTCCATCTTCAGTAGCAATTCCCAGTTAGCTACATTTTGATCTATACTGTTTCCTCCAAATAAGATAAATTTCTATCCAGCTCATCACAGCATATCTGAAAATAAGGTATGTTGTGAGAGACATCAATTCTGAGAAACGTTCAAGGCTCAGACTGTTAGATTCATGGATATCAACATTATTAATATATATGTAACAATTGGTTGACTGGAGTTTTCAAGGTAAGGGCTCGTGTAGGCTCTTCATGATCTGTGACTTACACCTGCAAATGTTCTAATCCTTTTTTCTTTACTCTTAATCAACTATTGAGTTCACAGAGGTCATTCAAAACATTTGAGCTTATTTCTTACTATGTGGATGCTGTTAATATAAATTAACCCAAAAATCAAATATGCACTCCAAGCAAGATATATTTTACAATTATAAACAGAATAATCCACAACTAACTAGTTCTCTTGACATCCTTCATCTGAAACAGTCTTTCATCAACGAATTCCAAGTCTTTGAACTGAATAAGGAAAACAGTAGGCCTGACAAACAGGCACCCACAGTACCTGCCATGGTTTTAGAAGCAGAGACAAGAGGATGCTTGACCACAGTAATCTGTTGGCATGATAGATGCACTGCCACTGTGTGGAAAAGCTGCTCAGTATCTTATTCACTGTCATCTGGTTAATGATGAAGCATGGACTCTTCAAAATAATTGATAGTGACCAATCAATGCTTGGTAGTTTGCTATTTCGAGAGACAAAGTACTAGCTGAGTACAGTGTACACTTTATTCCATTTAATTTCCTGCCCTCTTGATCTACAGGGATGAATTGCAGCTCCACAATAACAGGCTGCAAGTAATCTGCTCAAAACAAGAGGTAATCAAGATGAACCATACAAAGACTGTTTAATGTAAATTAATTGTATTTAATGGTTTTGTTTTTCATTGTTTTGATTGTTTGGTTTCTGGTATTTTCATTGTGTATACTGCCCAGAGTCACAAGTGTGAGATGGGCAGCTCTATAAATTTAAATATCCATAGGGTTGATGGTACGGATCAATTATTTCTGCAAGAATCTTTAGTGGCCTGTGACAATACATTAGAAGACATTGGAATGCCAAGCCATGTTAAAGCATCTTATTGTATGGCCTGGAAAATTGGGCCATCATCAGCAGGGAAGCCCTGGGCCTATCATGCCAAATAAGTCTTACTCTCAATACTTATTTAGTATAATGCTAGATGCCTTCTGAAGGAGATATGCTACCCTTGGAATTCACAATGGCCTGATCCAAGGAGGACAGAGATGGAGATACCCATACATCTGAGACTGGGTAAGACTCAGCCTTTGTCTGATGCCTAAACAGAGGGCAAATATCATTAATGATGATAAGATCAGCCAAAAGGTCTGTTGTACTTGGCTAGATTCTGTAGGAAGTACGGGCTTTGGTCTAGACTGAATCATGCTGTCTGTAGAAGAGTATGTTTCCTCAGACATTGGGCCCAAAGTAAAAACTCTGATGACACATGTATATATTTCTATGGATGAAGAAGTGACATGGGTTCACATACAGGAAATACTATCTCTCAGATAAAAAACAGTGCTGCTGGTACTGATCCTTCATAGAACTCTGGCAGCAATGGCATGAGTTAGCCACCCTCATCAAAGATATAAGAATGCCTGTCAAAAGATAGGAGTTTAGTACTTAGTATTTCTATTTGGTATGTGCATATTAAGCACAGATAAGACCTATTTTTCTCCTGGTGAGGTAAGTTGGGCTGAGAGAAAGTGATTGTCCCTAAATTACTGAGTGAGCTTTTCATGACTAGAATCTGGATCACCCCATTCCAACCGTTTAATTACTACATCACACTGGCTTTCACTTACTACCACATTTTATACATTTATGGGGTATAAATCTAATAAAGAAATAGAATTTCAGAAGAGATCTTCAAAGGTATAAAAATGGCAAATCACTACGGTGATTCTACGTGTCAATGTTTTCTAATCTCGCTTCATATATGTGCATATAGTGTATGTGGGCATTGATGATTATGTGCCATCATGTTGGCATCACCTCTTAGCAATCACACAGATAGAATTTCTCCAGGAGGATCTGTCCCCAACTTGTTCCTTTATGGCTTCCAACAGTGCACCCATTGCAACTGCTATTGAGTCCATCCATCTTGCTGCTGTTCTTTCCTTCCACCTTTCCCACCATTATAGACTTCTCCAGAGAGCTAGGTTTTCACATGTGTGCATACTATGATAATTTGAACCTGGTCATTTGTGCCTCAAGTGAGAACTTCAGGTAGATTTGTACAATAGTACCTTTGTTTGTTTGCTTGGTTATCCATGATATTCTCAGGATTTTCTCCAACCCCGAAGTTGAAAACTATCAATACTCTTTCTATTCTGCTTCTTTAAAGTCCAACTTTCACTTCCAAAGAGCATCACAGGGAAAACTATTTCCTACGTGATTCTGATTTTTGTAGATACAGACACATCCCAGCATCTGCATATTTTTTCCAAGGCCTTCACTTCTACCAAGTGCTAGTCTGCAGCATATTCCTTTTACTGTTGATAATTGACCCTAAAAGACAGAAGCTATTCACCACTTCAGTATCTTCATTATTAATTCTAAGGCTGGTTGTTATATCTGTTGTCATTAGTATGGTCTACTTTAGATTTAATCTCAGTCCCATTTCTTTCACTGTGTTCCTTGACTTTCATTACTAGAGCTTGCAGATAATTCGCATTTTCAGCTAGTAGGGTAGTGTCATAAACATAGCAGAGGTTATTGATGTTTCTTCATCCAATTTTAAAACCACACTTGTCTTCCAATCCAGCTTCCCTTAGTATATATTCCACTTACTGGTTGAGTAAGTAAGTGGAAAGTATACAACCTTGTCTCTCTCCTTTGCTAAATAGGAGCCAGCCTATTTTGCTCTGTTCTGTCCTTACTATGGGCTCCTGACCTGTGTATAGGTTTCACATAAAGACAATGAGATGTTCTGGGATTCCCATTTTGATGAATTCCCATAAATGAAGCTTCTTTTTGGTATTCTTTGGTTTTCTCAATTATCCAGCATGCATCAGCAATAATGTCTCATGTTCCTTGGCCTTTTCTAAAGCCACCTTGAACGTCTGGCATCTCCCTTTCCATGCAGAGCTCTAATCTGCATTGGATGATCCTAGGTACAGTATTTATTTGCTAGCATGTGAAATTAAGGGTATTGTGTGATAGTTTGCACACTGTTAAGTCTCCTTTCTTTGTATTGGTATGTAGATTGACCTCTTCCAATCAGTTGATTGTTCTCTGTATTTGTTGGCATACTTGGTTATAACCTTTACTGATTCTTCTGTTGCTTATCATATTTCTGTAGACATTTCATCAATTCCTGTAGCTTTCTGGCTTGGTAATTATCAGAGTGCTGATCTAACTTCACCATCTAATACTAGAGGTAAGTAAGGAATATTTTCTAAGGTTTCTTGGATGTTGACATCTCTATTGTACAATATTTCAGTATACTCCTTCCATCTTTATCTTCTTTGAATCAGTTTCTATTTGTCCATTGGCATTCTTTAGCATACCAATTCGAGGTTGGAACTCCTTCTGAGTTTAGAGATCTTTTGGAAGACCTTCCTTTTTCCATCTCTGTTTCCATCTTCAGTGTCTTTACAGATGCTGTTGTAATAGATGCTTGTTGTCTCTTCTAGCAGCTCTTGAATTTTTTTGTTAAGTTTCTTCCTGAGAATATTGTCTTTATTGTCTTTGGCTTCTGTTCCCTTTATAGCAATTTCCGTCATTTGCTCTGACATC